TTAGTAGAGTTAACATGTCATTTAGACCCATCAATAAACCAGACTTGTTTTCTTTTCTTAGCCAATTGGTTTTTGATAACACTCCAGAAGGCCAGAACTACAGGTTTAGGTAAAAGGAGGCCAGGTTGTACAAGAGTTGGTTCACATAAGCTGTGCATTACTTCTGCCTTAAGACCTACCCCAGCTTGCCAAATCAATCATATACTATTTCCATCTCTTGAGAGATTGTTGTTATCACACCCAGGCTAATCTAACCCAAATGACCAGGGGAAGTGCAAGACTATGGCTAGGCACTCAGTCTCTACCAAGGCAGTTAGGAACTATTCCTGATAAGAAGAGCAGGACATAAATTTGCTCCAAACTACTGAAAGTCTGTCTTGAAATTCTCCTACCTAGGTTCAACAGAGACTCCACATAGCATTCTTTTATACCACATTTTGAAAATCAGTGGATCTCCTGGTGATACACCTGATGTGGGACAGCAGCCTTCACTCTAAGTAAAACTAGTTACAGGCCTTTTCTTTCTTTGCTTCCTACTAAAAATGGTGATTTTAAGGGTGGTTTGAGATCACACAGTCATATGAGATAGATATTGCTTTCAGAACCCACAAGTGCCTACTAAGCACCATGTCTCTCTTATCATGGTACATAGTAAGAGGTGCAACAACTACCTCTCATTGGAGAGTGGGATATTTTAATGTACTCCAAATCATTGAACCCCCTAAAAACTTCATTGAAGTTAACAGCTCAAGATTTTTTTTTCAAATTTGACTCTCCTTCTCTAGTTCTTATCTGTTCTCTTAGACCTATCACTTCTACACTTGATCTTAGCCAAAAGGCCAAGAAGTGATAAACCCATCACTTCTGAGTTCTTTATGTCAACAGTGTCATGAGCAATGTGACTTTTTGTGGACTATCATGATGGTCAAGGTCTGTGGGCTCTATGCTGGCAGAGGACAGGAGAAACGACACAGACTTGAGGCAAGAGTGAAGATATATTTTGGCTTGCCAGGTCAAAGCAAATTTCTTAAGGTCTTTGCAAATTTAGGCCAATAATTTGTAGGGCAAGTTCCAAAAGGCAGATTGATTTATTCCAGTTAAGACAGTACACCTGTCTTATCTGGGGTAGCAGCTGCAGTTCTAGTTACCAGTTCGTTGTGGTTCAATACTCGCTAGCCATGTTTTAATCTCTTTTTGACCCCTAGGGCAAGTCCCTCAGGGTTGTGATATTGCTTCTGGTGTATTTTATTGACAAGGAGCAGGGATGTTTTCGGGGTTTCCAGTTATCCATTCTTATCATGTTGGCCCTCAAGTAAGGGTCAGAGAACTAATATCAAGAATTCTTCCAATAGCCAATTATGCTTTTTTTAATGACACATTCAGGAATCAGTGCAAGAGCTAGAATGTGGTCTACTGTGTTTCAGACTTAAGCTAAGAGTTTCCTTTGTCAGCTCACCCCTGTAAGACTTTATTTTGGTTGGTGAACAGTAATGATGTTTTGGATGACCTGGAATTTGCACTCATTCAGAACCAGTGTGTAGAAATCACAAAGATAAGTCTTTTTGCTGAAAAGCAGCCACTGTAGTTAAGGGAACCCTTAAGGGAAAATTTGGATGAATTACAGTGTGTATTGGGGGCAGCAGTGTCAAGTGTTCTCTGAATTGACACAGGTCTGGGGTCAGGTTGGAGGCTGTGACTCTTATCTCCACTGGGGCAGCTCAAGTCTGAGTTTGGCTCCCAGTCGTAAATATTTTCATGCTATCTACATGAAGTGACATCTTAGTAGGTCCCATAAATGAGCCTGCCCGGGAACACACTGACTACTGAAGATCTCTGCCTGTCACCACACTTGACTACTGACATCCCCTTCCACCTTTTCTAATGGAGCCAACCTGGACATTTGGCTCAGCCACCCTGGGAGTGCAACATCATGACTCAGATTGTCACCCATCTCAATGGCAGGGAGAAATAAGATGAGTTCATGACTATCATGATCACTATAATTTAACATTCCCACAGTCAGAATGTATGCCTGGTGCTTAGCTGTGTTCATCCCTGCGACTACAAGAAGTGAAAGAAGTCTTGTCAGGCTGTCACAGAAGCTGTCTAGTTTTCAGACCATGATTTGAACTAGGACCCGAGCTTGTCATCTTCTATGACTGCTGAAGTGCATTTTGGAACATTTGTTTTAAAATATAGTCTTCACAGTCATCAATATGGTATCAGTATAGGTCCTCAGGACACACACTAGATCAGTGTCTACCAAAGGTGATAATGTGTTCGATTGCACTGCCACTGCATGCGATGGCTTACTAGTGTTCTTATTGGCAAGGAACTCTGCAATGTGCTCATGCCTGAGTGCAAGCAAATCTTCCACTCCTATCTTTATGGAACTATTTTGGGGGTGACACCCTACTCCTGGTATCAGTTCTATAATAGTCATGGACTCATCAAGAGACTGAAGCCACATAGGAGACTTTAAAAGAAAATGTTTACTATAGAGGATTGTTAACTTTAACAAGGGACTGGCATGCTGGAGGACTGGCTGGTGAGCAATGGGGAAACTGCTGAAGCATACTGGAGAGATAACAGGTGTAAGAAAGTGCCATGAAATCCAGACTACATTGACAAAGACTTGCTCAAGGCTTTCTGGATGGCAGGGAAGTTCCCCCCAAAGGAACTCTGGTTGTGAGGAGCCCTACTTAAGAGGTGCCATGCCAGAGGAACACCACTCTAAGGTGCAGACATTGCAGCAGCCAGACTAGAGAAGCACACAATATCAGATCAGAATTGTTTCTTCTAGGTAGTAATTGCCCAGCATCCTCCACTGGCAGAGCTCCATCTCTTACCAGTTGGTGAAAGGAAACTTCTGTCACAGCCTGATTCATACTATAGGACAGCCGATGGAAGGTTAATGTGGAGCTGAGACAGAACAAAGCAATCAACAGCACTGAAACTTGTCAAAGTGAAGTTTTACTTTTGATATCAGAATTGCCACTCTTTCTTTGGCTTTATTTTTAAAATGCTATTTCAGAAATAAATGTGTGTGTGTTTATGTATGTATACATTTAGATCTTTAATTCATCGGAAGTTCATTGTGTATAGTGCATGGTGATGATTCAACTCTGAATAGACTAAACTTTTTCTTTAATTTGCCAAGACACACATCATATATAAGTTGATGTTTATAAATACATTTTCTTGATCTATTTCAGTCATTTACTTATTGTTTTGTCAAAGAGAGATTTTCTTACACAAACAAAAACACTTGTATTAGGACATTTTTAAAAAAAGGCTTATTTATTTTTATTGGAAAGTCAGATATACAGAGAGGAGGAGAGACAGAAAGGAAGATCTTCCTTCCAATGATTCACTCACCAAGTGACCACAATGGCCAGAGCTGAGCCAAACTGAAGCCAGCAGCCAGGAGCTCTTCCAGGTCTCTCACACGGGTGCATAGTCCCAAGGCTTTGGGCCGTTCTCAACTGCTTTCCCAGGCACAAGCAGGGAGCTGGATGGGAAGCAGGGCATCCGGGATACCACATGGGATCCTAGCGCATGCAAGGTGAGGATTTTAACCACTACGTTATCGTACTGGGCCCCATTAAGGCTTTTTAAAAAGGATATATTTATTTGAGAGAGAGAGAGAGAGAGAGAGAGAGAGAGAGACAGAAAGAGAGACTGAGATCCTCCGTCTGCTGGCTTACCTTCCAGATGTCTGCAACAGCTAGCACTAGGCCAGACTGAAATGAAGATCCAGGAGTTTGATCTGGATCTCCTGTGTGGGTGGCAGGAGCCCAAACATCTGGGCCATCTTCCACTGCTTTCCTAGACAGGAGAGAGCTGGATTGAAAAAGAGCAGCTGGGATACTAACTGGTGTCCATAAGGGATGCTGGCACAGCAGGCAATGAGTCTGCCTGCTTTGCCACAACATTGATCCCAGATCTTCTTCTTATTAAAGATTTATTTAGTCATTTGAGAGTAGTGACAGAGGGGGAGAGACAAAGAGAGATCTCCCATCTACAGGCTTCCTTCCCAAATGACTGCAACAGCTAGCACTCAGCCAGGATGAAAGCAGGAGCCCAGAGTTCTACCTAGGTATTCTTCATGGGTGGACCAAGCACTCAGACTTTCCCAGGTGCATTAATAAGGACTTAGATGAGAAGCAGAGCAGTTGAAATTCAAACCATCACACGGATATGGGATGCTGGCATTGCAGGTGGTGGCTGAGCCCACGGCACAACAATGCCAGCTCTACATTAGGATTTTACTGAAGACCTTTGGCTTTTGTAGGAAGAATGCAAAGATAGCAGAGACAGGATTATGTTCGTGAGTGAAACCAATAAGAACAAATACCTTGAGCTTATTTTAGGTGAGTCTGTATTCAAACACTGGGGTTTTTCACTTATTAATAAATATTGATTGATAGTAGGGTCCTCTGCTTTGGCTATCTCACCTCTTTAGTCACTTTAGAACCCATATTGGGAGGCTTCTGGTCGACCAGAAACAGGGATATACTGTAGGAACACAAGCCAACAATTGTGGGTTTATTTGGGTTTATTTTTAAATTTTCGTTCACGCACGCACATGCACAGACACTCATGGCTGCCAGCCACTGGTTTGTTTTCCCAAATGCTGGGAGCCAGGAACTCAATGCCAGGTCCCCCACACTGGTGGCAGAAGCTTTCCCAGCTGTGCACCAGCAGGAAGCTGGAATTGGGGCAGAAAGGTCTTGACTCCAGGCATATGCTTTGGGATGCAGGTGCCTTGACCAGCATCCTAATTGTTAGACCCAACACCTGCCTCTAATATCTAAACTTTAAAATCTAGGACCAAATCCCAGTTCACTTAGGAAACATTAGCCACAATCATCTCAGTCCTTCAGCAGTATATCCCAAGTACTGATTAAAAACAAATAGGCAAACGGTTTAGTGGAATTTCAAGCCAATTTTATTCATATGAATGCTCCAGAAATGAAACTTGGAAAAAGGAGATATGATTACCAACGGGGTCTGACTGGGTTCCTGGAGGGAGCCGTTTGAACTTGAATAGTTGTAAGTGAAACATTTTCTGCCACGTTGGGTAAGACAATATCATCAATCCTTTTTCGATGTTTGATAGGCACCTGAAAAATTAAGTAGACATTGATCATTTTTAAGGAAAGGATGAATAAGTTTTGTTGCAGCATCACAAAATTTCACTGTTACACCCAAGACCATGATCAGTGGTTCCTTCTAGGTTAGGCCATTTGCTGGGGCTGCTTCTACCGTCTGCTATTTGTCAGAAGAAGAATCAGTAAGAGATTCATCTGTGCTGATGTCATGGCGTAAGATGCCAGCATCCCACATGGGTGCTGGTTCAGTTGCCGGCTGCTCCACTTCCCATCTAGCTTTCTGCTAATTTGCCTGGGAAAATAGCAGAAGATGACCCGAGTGCTTGGGCCTCTTTCACCCAAAGGGGTGACTCAGAGTTCTCGGCTCCTCATTTCATCCTGACCCAGCGTTTGCCATTTGGGGAAGATTTTTTCTATCCCTCCTCTGTCTCTCCCTTTCTTTCAGTCACTTAAATACGCCTTTAAATAACCCATCAATGAAAAATGCCCTTCATCTAAGGAAGCAAAAGCATTTCATACTTGAAATGGCTAAACCAATTCATTAAGACTTCTAATTAGCTAGGACACTGCTATTTGTAGAAAACCACTTGTGTTATTACAACCTTGCCAGCTGTAAATTCTTCTTTAGTGAGTATTGACCTGACTGCGCTCAGAGGTTTGCTGCAGAACTTAGATTGAAAGAGGTTCTAAGTAGCTTTGCATCTGTCTTAACCCTTAGGATTTCTTATTCTTTTTTTTTTTAATTTAAAGATTTATTTATTTATTGGAAAGTCAGATATACAGAGAGGAGGAGAGACAGAGCGGAAGATCTTCTGTCCGTTGATTCACTCCCCAAGTCAGCGCAATGGCCGATGCTATGCCGATCCGAAGCCAGGATCCAGGAACTTCTTTCTGGTATCCCACACAGGTGCAGGGTCCCAAGGTTGGGCTATCCTCAACTGCTTTCCCAGGCCACAGGCAGGGAGCTGGATGGGAAATGGAGCTGCCAGGATTAGAACCAGTGCCCATATGGGATCCCAGCATGTGCAAGGCCAGGACTTTAGCCACTAGGCCATGCCGCCGGGCCCAGGATTTCTTGCTTGGGTTCCTACTTTATATACAAGCCAGTGAGCCCACAGGACACTTCATTATGGGGCTTACTTAGTCATTTGAGCAGCTGCCAATGAACAATTAGCCTTAAACAGTCACCCTTCTCCTTTTTTTCCCCTTGTCTTAAAGATTTATTTATTTTTATTGAAAAGGTGGATTTACAGAGAGGAGAGGCAGAAAGATCTTTCATCCTCTGGTTACCTCTCCAAATGGCCACAACAGCTGGAGCTGAACCAATCTGGAGCCAGAAACCTCTTCCAGGTCTCCCATGTGGGTGCAGGGTCCCAAGGCCTTGGACCATTCTTTACTGCTTCCCAGGCCACAAGTAGGGAGCTGGATCGGAAGTGGAGCATCCAGTACTCAAACCAGTGCCTAAAGGGGATGCTGTGCTTGGAGGTGGAGGATTAGCTAGATGAACCATTGCAGACTGTAGAATCACTCCCAGCAGGTGAGTTGGAATGGCAGAGGCCTATGGGAATCTGTTGATCAGAGACTCCAGGAGAGAGCAGAAACCTGTTGAGCAGAGGCCCAAGAAAGAAGCAAGCACAGGCCCCCTCATCCAGAGTGTTATTTTGCCCCCAGTGACTCCTTGGATGTGCTTTTGTGCTTCCCAACAAGCATTGTTGTTCTAGTTGATTGACTTGCCAAGAACAAAGCTATACCCCAGATCAAAATAGCTTTGTTAGCTTTCCTGAAACTCCCTGTCCATATGAAAAATACAAATCACTAATCAATTAAGTCTTTTTAAAAAATTTATTTTATTGTTGATGATGTTTGCATAGTTGATTAAGGTGGGAAAGGTCCAGGATTCAGAAAAAAATGAGTGATACCATTGTTGGCAAATTTTCTTTTTCTTCTGTTTATATCTGAAGGAAGAGAGGAGAAAAGGGGAGAAATTGCACCCAGCCTCCCAACTGGCTCAGTACCTGAGGGATGGGGAACGGTCACCTGATGTCATACCAGGGTCCCCAATGTGGAGCTTGCTTTGAGGGCTCTGCTCAAGTGGTTTCAATAGTTCTGAAATGCTGTCGCTCTCATTGATCCGAGGATGAGGAAATCCTTCCAAGGTCCATTGGCTGACATAACCTACCTTAGAGTCTCCATTAGCCCAGATATTTGCTGTCAACATTTGGCTGGGGGTAGTTGACCAATTTGTTCTGTCCTCTTTCCTCTGTTATAGTATCAGATGTCCTCTGCAGGTCCCAGTGGATGACCATATTCTCCTTTCCATTGCTCTGTCTTAGCCTCGGAGGCCCAGCTCTGACATATGTACTCATGGTCAGCCCACAGATCCTCTGATTATCTCCATGGTTGGAGTTCTGAATCCAGTGGAGTGGTTCAGTTGAGAGTATTCCCAAAGAAACCTTGTCTGAGGTGATCTCAGACCTGACTCTGTGTATGCTTGCCAGTATGTGGTCCAGCTCATGCCATCAAACACATTCGCCAGTGCACACACTGGTAGTTGCAGTTACTGGATTTGTCTCCAGCCCCGTCTCTTAGATGAACCAATGGATGCTGTGGACCAGCCCAGTCCTGCCCACCACACACTCAGCCCTCACATATACCAGTGGGAACTGCAGCCTAGATGGAGCAATCCCCAAAAACCCCCACCAGGTCACACTTAGCCCTGGTTCCCATGCTTGCCAGTATGTGCAGCAGACTGGTCCGGTCTATCCCGTATCCCATTCAGCTCTAGTACACATCAACGGTCATTGAAACCTAGCTCAACCCAATCAACCCCATTATTCAGCCCACACTCATGCTGGCAGGTGCCACTGCTTGTCTAGCCAGGCCTACCCCCAGACTTGGTTCTCATGCTCACCAGTGGGAGCAGTAGCCCAACAGAGAGGTGTCCATTATTTCCCTACTAGGTCCACTCCCAGTCCCAGATCTTGTACTTTTCAGGTGGCATTTGCCATCAGAGGTTACAGCCTGGTCTGGCCTGCCCCCAGTCCCAAGTATTGCTGGTGGGTGCTATAGCCTATCCCTGTCCAGTCTGCTCCCATCCCTGGCTCGCTCATGCAAAATGTGAACTGGTAGGTGTGATAGCCCAGCCTGGCATTTCCCGCACTGCAGCCTGGCTCTTGTACTTGCCAGTGGCTAAGGTTGGCTAAGGTTGGCCTGCCACCTCCATTCAGAACTAACCCATACACTTGCTGACAGGTGGAGCTACTTTTCCCGGCCTCACATGCTCACCAGTGGGAGCTACAACCCAACAGGGGAATTTTCCAAGGTCTCTTACCAACTCCACTCCCAGATCCAGATCTTACATGTGCCAGTGGATGCTAGACCCCTACCCAGCACAGTCCACCCCCAAGCCTCAGCCTTTGTATGAGCTGGTAGATGTTGATGCCCAGTCTGCCCCATTCCCTGCTTTGGGGTGTCCCTGTAGGTGTGCAGCCTTGACCTGCCTGATGTCTTCCTAATCCAAGTACTCAGGTGTGTGTGTGTCAGGAAGATGGGGGTTCTATGGTCATGCCTAACTCAGCCCATCATCACCCCTAGCTCTTAAGCAAACCAGCAGAATTTACAGTTCCATAGGGGTAGGCCCACATATACCCCCAACAGAATCTGCCCTCAGATATGGTTGTCTTATGTGCTGGCTAGTGTCATGGCCCAGCTTAACAATACTCATCCCCTGTTCTGACTCTGACTGCTGTGTACTATGATCTAGCCCTGCCAGGTAAGCCCCCGGCCCCAGTTATAGTCTGTGTCAGTGAATAGCAGTCAGCAGTGACCCACACTAACTATCCCAGCTCAGGTCTCCCATTTGGGATGGTGAATCAGTCTGATCCATAAAGCTCTTCCAGCTTTACCCTTTCAAACTACTCGGTCTCAGCCCCCTTGCTTACCTACAAGTATAGTGGCCTTGTCGATGGAAGTCCCTCAGAATTTGTTCCTTACCTGCAACATACTCCCTCTGCCATCTCTCTTACCCCCTTCTCGGATTGAGCCAATATTCCTGGCACCTGGGAGTGCATGGGCTCTTCAGTTCAGCCTTCCTAAGTCCAGTCTTCTGGTGGGGTGGTGTGCTGACCCGGAGCTCTGCCAGCCCACAAGGGTCCCAAGCTCCTGGCATGTGTGCTGACCAGGGACCTTACTCCTGGATCCCAAGATCCAGGTCTATTCAAAGTTCCCCAAGCCCAATCTACCAGCACACCAGGTCAGCATAGTAACCTTGGGCTCTCCTCTCACCTTCCCCCACCCCACCCAGGACCAAGCACCTGGGGAAACACCCAGGCTTGCTCTGCCTGCCTGAACAGAAGCCCCCAGATCTCTACACACCCCCGCTGGCATTATCCCCAGAAGCCTTTCAAGCCACAAAATGCAAAGACCACCAATTAAGTCTTGCAACAGTATTCTGAGTTTGAACTATTTCGACTAATCCTAGTGATAAAGCCTAAGTTTGAACTAATGTAATTAAACCTGGTGAAGGTAACTAATGTTTTGCTGAAGCTTAAGCTGTCTGAAATAACTGTTGTTCTGCTCAATATATAAAACTAAAACCCAAGAAATAAACTTTGTCAGCTGCCTACGAGAGCGCTACTTGCCCCATTCAGGTCAATCCCCTCCCCAGTACCTGCAAGGAAAACTTGCAGAGGACAGACACCTTTCTAAACACCTCCGGTACAGAAGGTTTCCAGTCACGGGCTTGGCTACTCAGCAGCCTTTTCAGCCACAGGAATTGTGACCTCCAACATGCGCCCAGGATCCTCAGAGCTTCCAGATGTGAGACAGAGATGGAGGGAAACTTGAAATTCCTTGAGGACAAGCACTTACCCAAGGGACCTTGCTTTCTTTGGAAAAAGGTTTTGGAAGCAACAGATAGACATACATACTTGACCTCTGTATGCTGGTACTTCATTCCTGGATTCAAACAACTACAAAGTAGCCATAAAGAAGCATGTGCTAAACATATAAAACTTTTCATTTTTCCTAAACAACACTGTGTAACAACAATTTACACAGCATTTCTCTATTTTATTTGACACAGTTTTATAGGTATAGGGATTTTTCACTCCCAGTCCCCTTTCTTCTCCATATCTCCCAGCCATTATTTCTGAAATGATTATGATAGTATAGTCCCTTAGTAACAGTTACAAATTTAATTTTTGCTATTTTACTATTTTATTGTGTCATGATGTGCTAGGTGTAGGTAGAGGTAGAATATCTAGTATTATGGTGTAGGGAAATATTTACATGTTCTATAATGGGAGGCATTCTTTAGGAGTACAGACTGTCATACAATGCTATATTTATAGCAGCACAATTCATAATAGCAAAGACATGGAAACAACCCCAAATGCCCACCGATGGATAAATGGAGAAAGAAACTGGTACGTCTACTCTATCAGTCACAAATAAGGAATAAAATCCTACAGACTGCAACAAAACAGTTCCAATTGAGGACCATTATGCTTAGTGAAATAAGCCAGTTGCAAAAGGACAAATACATGTTCTTTCTGATGTAAGAGAGCCTTTAGGCAAGCTACAGATTAAATAGATATAGGTAATCAAATACAAACCTATACTCTCACAGATGGACAGTATAACAGATTAACATACTGGCATAGTGGACATGATTTGTATTCTGAGATACCGTAAGCAATCTATATATGGTATAAAACATAGAGCAGATTTCCACTGATGACAGGCAAATACTGCACCATTTTGTATTGATTTATATTATTTGCTTGAAAAGTGGAGAGATAGAGGAGTGGGAACATGGGCAGATGGAGGTCCTCCATCTGCAGGTTTACTCCTTAAATGCCTGCAACAGTCAGAGCCTGTAACACAATGCAGATCTGTCATGTGGATGGCAGGAACCCAACCACTTGAAACGCCATCACCCCTGCTTCCCAGAATGTGCACTGGCAGGAAGGTAAAACCAGAAGTGGAGCAAGAGGCCTGGTGCTGTAGTCTAGTGGCTAAAGTCCTTGTCTTTAATGCACCAGGATCCCATATGGGTGCCAGTTTGTATCCCGGCTGCTTCACTTCCCATCCAGCTCCCTCTCCCTGCTTGTGGCCTGGGAAAGTAGTTGAGGATGGCCAAAAGCCTTGGGACCCTGCACCCGCATGGAAGACTGAAGAAGGTCCTGGCTCCTGGCTTCGGATCGGCTCAGCTCCAGCCTTTGGGACCACTTGTAGAGTGAAGCAGTGGATAGATCTTTTTCTCTGTCTCTCTTCTCTTTGTAAATCTGCCTTTCTGATTAAAAATAAATAAATAAATCTTTTAAAAAAAAAGAAGCGGAGCAAGGTATTGAGCCCAGGCATGCTGCTTCAGGATGCAGGCCTCTCAGTTGCATCTTAACTCCCAAACCAAACACATCTGTTTTAATAAGTTGTCATTTTCCATAAGGGAGTTCAGTTTCTGGATGTTGGTGGAAGATCGGTCTTGAGACCTCTACTCCATGGATACTGAAGAGTGACTGTACTAGAATTTCAGGTTTGAGGAAGATGGGGGGGGGAAATGGCCTTACAGAGCTTGGTGAGTCAAGCAAACGGTAGATGTTAAGAATGTGGCCCTTGCCTGGTCAAGACTGAGATTAGATGCTTTATCGTCTGGCTTGCTCCTTCTCTTAATAGCAGGTTTAAAAATGTTAGAACAGGCCCAGCACAATGGCTAAATTGGCTACTTCTCCACCTCCAAGCTCTGGGATTCCATATGGGTATCCGTTTGTGTCTATTTCCCATTCAGTTCCCTGCCTGTGGACTGAGAAAATGGTGTAGGATGGCCCAAAGCATTCAGACCCTGCACCTGTGAGGGAGACCCAGAAGAAACTCCTGGCTCCTGGCTTTGGGTTGGCTCAGTTCCAGCTGTTGCGGCCACTTGGAGAGCGAACCAGCAGATGGAAGACCTTTTTCTCTGTCTCTCCTTCTCTCCATTCTCTCCAGTAAGTTTTTATTTCCAATGGAAATAAATATAAACTCCCCCCGTCCCCCCAAAACCCAACCCTGCAACAGGGCAGGCCATTTGATGTAGTGGGTAAGACACTGATTGGGATGCCTGCATCCTGCACTGAAGTGTGTGAGTTCAAATCCTAGGCCTGCTCCCAAGGTTAGCTTTTTGTTAATGTCAGACCCTGGGAGGCACTGGTATGGCTCAAGTGGTTGAGTCTCTGCCACCCACATACATTGTAGCTAAGATCAAATGAATTCCTGGTCCCTGGCCTTAGTTCTAGCTATGACAGGATGAGCTTTTTGTTTTTCTTTCAAACAAAATAAAAAAGAAGTATTACAACAAATAACCAGGCTATTAGCTGCAGATGGACCCTTGAAATGACTTAGAATGGCATCGTTTTCTCTGTGGGAGTGACTGCATCTTTTTCTCCCTGATTTTTCTGAAGGCAAGAGGGAGAGAACTCTCTGACGTGCTGATAAGACCTGAAATGGAGATTCTAAAAGATAAGGAACCAAACAGTGAAATACTGAATCAAGTCGTACAGAGAAAGCAGAGGAAGAGGATTTGGGGTTTGGTTTATATAAATTGAAAGTTGAACTATTTCCCCAAATCCTCCAAATAGGTGCTAATCTGCCTTCCAAGAAGTTCTTGGAAAGTAAATTTATCACCTATTTTTTTTAAAAGATTTATTTTTTTTTTTATTATTTTAAAAGGCGGAAAGGCGGATGTACAGAGAGGAGAGACAGAGAGGAAGATCTTCCGTCCGATGATTCACTCCCCAAGTGAGCTGCAACGGGCCGATACTATGCCGATCCGAAGCCAGGAGCCTCTTCCGGGTCTCCCACGTGGGTGCAGGGTCCCAAAGCTTTGGGCCGTCCTCGACTGCCTTCCCGGGCCACAGGCAGGGAGCTGGAAGGGAAGCGGGGCTGCCGGGATCAGAACCGGCGCCCATATGGGATCCTGGGCGTGCAAGGCGAGGACCTTTAACCACTTGCGCCACCGCGCCGGGCCCCACCTATTTATTTTTTAACACTATTCATTGTACTTATTTGAAAAGCAATTATATATATATATATAACTATATATATAACTGTTAAATATATCTATATATAGATATAGATAGATAGAGAGAGAGAATGGTCTTTTGTTTACTGGTTCACTCTCCAAATGGCTGCAATGGCTGAATCCAAGAGCCAAGAACTCCATCCTGGTCTGTTATGTGGAGGCAAGGGTCCAAGTGCTTGGGCCATCTTCCATTGTCGTTTTCCAGGCATATCAACAGTCACTGGATCAGAAGTGGGACAGCCAAGATTTGACCTGGCACTCAGATGGGGTGCTGCTCTGTAGGTGTCATCTTAATCCACCATGCCACGACACCAGCTCCTCACATGTTGTAAAATGGTTTCTGAAGTTGTTTATTTCTGCTCTGTCCTGGGACTCAGTACAGCAAACTGATGTTGCCAATTAATTATTGTAGACAGTTGTGAAAAACATGAAGAGAGGAAGATACAAGGTGTTGGTAGCTGCCTTCTATACCCACTGATCGAGTCAGGGTGGAGAAGGTGCCATTAGCCCAGTGATTTCAATGTCAGGATTTTGTTATCTAGGTAAGACTCTGATGTATAAGTTTTCTAACATAAATATGAAGTGACTGTAAAGTCACAACATTAGGGCTAAATTTGTCCTTGGTTCACGCAAAATAATCAAGCTCATTGTCACTTACAGTCTTAGGCCTCTGTGTCCTTCTTGTTATCTGACTGTCTGTAAGATTTGTCTTTAAAACACGGAGCTGGAAGTGTCTGGATGACGTAGAAGCAGAGCACAGGGAGCCATGAGCCTGGGATAGAAGGCCTAGAATTAAAAAGAAAAATATAAAATTATATCTGTGATATTGTGTCCAAAGTTTAGAGCTTAAAATGGGCATCTAATTAATCTTCACTAAGTTTTTCCTTCCTGTTTTATAAATCTTTTTTAAAGATTTATCTTATTTTGATTGCAAAATCAGATATACAGAGAGGAAAATCTTCCTTCTGATGATTCACTCCGCATGTGACTGCAATGGCTGGTGCTCCCTCGATCCGAAGCCGGGAACCAGGAACCTCTTCCAGGTCTCCCACACAGGTGCAGGATCCCAAGACTTTGGACCGTCCTTGACTGCTTTCCCAGGTCACAAGCAGGGAGCTGCGTGGGAAGCGGGGCTGCCAAGATTAGAACTGGCGCTCATATGGGATCCCGGTGCGTTCAAGGTGAGGACTTTAGCCTCTAGGCCACACTGCTGGGCCCTTCATAAATTTTTAAAAAGATTCATTTATTTGTATTTGAAAGGCAGAGTTACAGAGAGAAGGAGAGAAAGAGAGATCTCTTCTATACTCTTCAAATGACCACCATGACCAGAGCTGGGTGGTCCAAAACTAGAACTAGAATCTTCTTGGTCTTCCTAATGGATGCAAGGTCCCAAGTTCTTGAGCCATCTTCTACTGCTTTCACAGACATATTAGCTGAAAGTTGGATCAGAAATGGAATAGCCAGGACTCCAGGATTAATCTATTACACCATGACACCTGCCCCTATCTTATCAATCTTGAGGAAAACAGAATCTGGATGGAGTTTTCTGCCCGAGGAGCCCATGACCAAGTCAAAGGGTGGCAGCCAATGGAAGATGTGGACTCCGGGAGGCACAAGCAGATGGATGGAGAGACACAGATGCAGAATGAGGAAAAGAGCTTCCAAATTTCTGGCTGAAGCACCTGTGGATGTGACAACATGATTGGCTGTGATGGTGCCTGCTTGCCCCCACAAGACGTGGGCGTGGGAGGAGCACAGGGAGTTTTACCCGTTGAACTTGGGAGCCTGAGAGACAGGAGTTGTAGACACCAATAGTCATTAACTATATGGGTCTGGAGCTCAGAGGAGAGTTTCGAGCTGCAGGTGTAGACTCGGTCAATAGTGACTCAAACCGTGGGAACAAGTGCAATTATCCAGAAACAGGGCAAGGTGAGACGGAAGGAGGCCCAACAGAAACCTGAATGACAGCCATGTTTAGAGGTGGGAGAGAGGAGGAGCTGGAAAAAGGGACTTGGACGAAGCAGCCAGCCAAAGAGGGGGCACTGTTTCTCAGATAAATTATTTGAGTAGGGAGTGGGTGTTTGGTCTAGAGGTTAATTTTTGTTGATTTTTTCCCAATAGTTTTAAAAGATCTATTTTGTTTATTTGAAAGATAGAGTGACAGAGAGAAGAAAGAGCTGTTTTACCCATGATTCACTGGCTGGGCCAGGCCAAAGACATCTAGACTGCCAGAAAGTGTGGATTCCTAGAGACTCCTTGGTCAAGTCAAGGAAAGTGCTCATCCCTTGCCTGTGCCTGTGGTCCATGGAGCCAGGGTGCTGTTGTCATGGCAGCTGCTGCAGATGGGGTAGGCCTGGTTCATTGCAGAGCCCCACTGGTCCACGGTGGGGAAGCAAGGTGTGGTGATATGGCTTGAGTTTACTCGTCCACACTAATGACAGAGTCGAGAGGAGAGAAGTCTGTTTTCTCTGAGTGGAGGTGGCAACAGGGGAGCCATGACTCCACCTACCCTGTTAGGGAAGTCCTCTCCAGGCATCCCCTCTTGTTGCAGAGGGGAGCCAAGTCTTGGCTATACCTGCTGCCTGGAAAACGGGCTCTTTCTCAACCCAGGCCTCTCCCTCCACCCTGGGAGTCCGGGTTGCCCCCACCTGCCTCATGACTCCCTCTTGTTCTCTTTCATAAATGCACAGGTGTCGGAGAACAGGGTCGCAGGCAGTTTTGGGTCACGGGGACAAGGAAGGAGAAAAATTGCAGCAGACATAGAAGGGACAGAAAGAGAGCAATGTAGAGAAAAACTCAGGGTCAGGGCTCATGGGACCAGCACTCTGGCATTGTAGGTGAAGTCTCTGCCTGTCACGGTGTCCCATGTGGGTGCCGAATCCACTCTTGGCTGTTCCATTTCTGATCCAGCTCCCAACTTATGGCCTGGGAAGGCAGCGGAAGATGTTCCAAGTTCCTTGAAATCCTGCAACCATGTGGGAAACTTGGAAGAGGATCCTGGATTCTGGCTTCAGATAACCCAGCTCCAATCATGTGGCCACTTGGGGAATGAACCAGCAGATAGAAAATCTCTCTGTGTATTCTTTCTCTATAACTGCCTTTCAAATCAATCAATCAATCAAATAAATCTTTTGAAAGGGTTCACATGTGTTTCTCAACTTTCAGTTCCCGGGTTGGGGTCACGATGACGGAAGTGTAGGACAGCAGTGGTAGGTGGTCAGGGCTGCCTGCCCCCACCCAGTGTCAGGGTCAGTGCTAAGAGTGGGGCGGGGGGTATGTGGACTGAATGCCAAGTCCAGCTCTGCTTGGGGTAAACAAAATCACTTGGCCCTTGACATACCTCTGAAAGGCTGTTGTCAGCTCCTTCCCATTGAGAAATAGGCCAAAGGAAACATAGAGGAGGACTAAGCTTAGAAATACACGGTGCCCATGGGTTACCATGGTTTTCAGAGCAGCAGCCCCACAAAGCTTCTTTGAATCCTCAGTGTGATGGGTGTTGCCGTTTCGGGGACAGGTTAAGTTAACCAAAGGCTGCACAACTAGCAGAGAATGCCACAACCAGGGTCATTGAACCTGGCTGCTTTATTCCAAGACCCAGCCCACTCTGCTCCAGGACAGGGAAACAAGCGGCGTGGCTGAGCCTAACAGCCAGCCAATTTCAGCTGTGGATGCTGAGTGATGTTTCTGAGAGTCAGATTAGTAGTAAACTTAGAATTTACTTAGTAGGCTTCATCCTAAGGGGGAAGCAGCTGATTTAGGGACGTGCTGGGGTCTGACACCGGCTCCATGCTGCCTGTTTAGAATCACCAGGACTGCTTGGTTTCCCAGTACTCAAGAATAACTGTATCTTCTACAAACAGCATCAGAGAAATGTGGTCATGGGTGTCCCAGGCCATCATACTGTTCCCAAATCCTGGGAATATTCAGTGTTCTTTAGGTGACACGTGTCACACACTCCTGGGACCTGTTGTTCTTGTTGAACCCTTTCAGTGTAGGTGAACTAAAAGCAGGCAGGTTACTCCTGCCCATGTCATTCATTCATTCATTCATTCATTCATTCATTCATTCATTCAGGGAAGGGGTCCCTCAGTCACAGTTGAGCTGTCACAGACAGCTGCTGGCATCTTCTGCCAGCCTAGATCCCGAGCTCCACTGACTCGGCAGCAGGAAGAGGTGGTCTTTACCTCGCGCTGAGCCCAGCGCGGCGTCCTGAAGCTGGCTTCGCAGCTCCTCCACGCGCTGGAAGGCTTCCAGTTTCACACTGCGCTCCCGAGCCAGCGCACTTCTCACCTATGGGGACAGTAATCGGCTGGCTGCTGGGGCAGCACGGAGGCAGCGAGGCAACGCCAGGGCTTCGAGCAGCCTGCTGCAGTTCCCTCAGCTCCCAGCAGGGCAGGATGAGGGAGAGGGTCCTAGAGAGAACGTGGGCCCCAGGGGACATCAAGAGCTCTCCACCCATCCCTTGGCTGAGGCCTGTGCCCCCAAGGAAGCCCCGTGGAGCCTGTCTGTCCCTGGTTCCAGGGCGTAGAGCCTCTGCCACAAGGACGCTGGATTCAAAGCAGGTGCCGTCTGCACAGATCAGGGGCATTTCTAATTTGTGAATGTATCATCTCAAAAGTATTTTTCAGTATATACTCTGGAGGGTCAAATGGTACTTCCTGTGCCAAGACACATGTCCAAATTAGCTCTCAGAATGTGACCTGAATGATCAGACCACTACAAATATAATGACACCAGGCTGAAGTCACAGGTATCAGGGCAATGGTGAGTGTCATTCAGGAGAGCAGAGGATAGGATAAGGGGGCAGAGTGGAATGCTGAAACCACAAGTCGAGAGACACCGAGGAGGGCCAGAAGCTTCCAGAAGGTAAGAGCTGATCCCTCTTCGGTGCCTTTCTAAAGGAATCAGCCTTGCCAAGACCTCTAGTCCAGACTCCTGGCTTTCTGAACTTGCAAAAGAACACAAATTCTGTTGCTTTAAGCTCTCCTGCTTGTGGTTATCTGTTACGGCAGCCCAGGAAGTGACTACACATGCTGGTCTGCAAAATGCAGCAACAGATGTTTTAAATCCTTCGCATGTTGTGTAGACCCAAATAGAAGCTCCCTCCACACTCACAGCTGTGACCACAGCCTTGTGGGTGGGTGGGTCGGGGGTGCTTTCCGTCAGTGTAGCTTACATTTCAACACCCTGTGTCCAGGTCCGGAGTTCGGGCCCAGAGTGATTTGTATAGAACTCTCATTTCCCATGGATGGGAGCCAGCGACCTGCCTAAGATTACACAACCAGATGGTGGCCGAGCCAGGATTCCAGTTCACGTCTATTTGTCTTCCTGTTTCCAAGGCTTGGCTTCCTTTATTCCTGGAAGTCCACGTTAATTGGGAGCTATTGATCAGGCCCATCATAAATGCTTTATTCTAATTGCCTCATTCAACGAAGCAGTTTCATTGTCTCCATGGCACTGACAAGGAAAATAAAGACCAGAGGGGCCATGGTCTTGGCCCAAGGTCACACAATGAGAGGGGCAGGAAAGGACACCACAGAGGCTGCCTCAGGTCAGATAGTACTCTTCCAGGAATGAATTAGGACTGATTTTTAGAAAGCAATACCAGCATCTCATATTAAAGTGGCAATTGGAGTTGGGTCCACTTCGTACTCAGCTTCCTGCTAATGTGCCTAGGAAAATGGCACACATAAGAGGATCCAAGAACTTGGTTTCCTACCATCTATGTGGGAGACCCAGATGGAGTTTCCTGGATCCTGGTTATTGCAGACATTTAGGGAATGAACCAGCAGATGGAAGATCTCTCTCCTCTTTCTGTCTCTCTGCCTTTCAAATAAACAAATATGTAAGTCTTAGAATTCAGTTGGCATTGGAAGCTGTTGTTGGCAGCATAGATGTTGGGGACAGGTAAGCCAAGCTACACAGTTTTTTTTTTCACTTTGATTTAATTTATCACTTTACCAATGGAAAGTACATTGTTTACAAAATGTTTCCTTCCTCTGAGATTTCTTTTTTTTTTTTTTTGTCATTCTGCGTTTATTTTTTTTCAGTTTTTTTTTTATTGACAATCTTTACATAGTTAATTAGGGTAAAAAGGTTCAAGGGCTACAGGAAAGTGGGTAAGACTATTCAAGCTACATAGTTGTCAAGAGAGCTGGAGGGGTAATTTAGAAAGAGCCAATGTTTTTATTTTTTATTTTTATTTTTTGAGCCAGTGTTTTTAAACACACAGTAGAAAACTAAACGTGATATCGCAGCATATTTGTTGTACTACCACGACAATTTCTACCACTAAATAAATAATCAACTGTTAACTGGAGAAAACTTTGGAGAGGCACAGCTGCCGACCTCCCTCTTCATTGTAGTTTTAGAAAAGTCAAATTACAGACCGGGTGTCAGTGTCAAGTTCGCCTTGCAGTTTCAGGGATACTGTATTTGGCTTTTCAGGCAATATATGTGGAATTTGAATTTTGTTTTAAAGTTACTCATGTACTTTGTTTCTCCAGAAATCTTTTCTTTGCAGTCCTTCAGTCTAACCTTATTTCATGATTTGTTTTTTGCATAAGTCTTCCTATTGATCTCCTTGAGCACTTGCAGCACTTAATCAATAATTTCACTTCACTTTCCAATCACTTTTCAGTCTCTATCTGGAGAATAAAGCAGATGATTTTTTCACCCAAGGCGTATGTGTGAAGTGCCTGCTTTGTAAAGCACTGTTTTTAATTTTTTTTACAGTTTATTTGCTTATGCATTAATAATTTATTTATTGTATTAAGGTTTAATTATCATTTATGGGTCTGGACCACATTAAAACCACGCGTCTGTAACTCCACCGGGGTCCCCCACGTAGATGGCAGGGCCCCAAACACATAATCCTTCCCTCCCCCCATTGCTTTCTTAGGCATGATAACAGGAAGTTAGATCAGAAGTGGAGCAGCCAGGATTCAAACAGGTGAACTAGTAATGTATCAGAAGGCGGTTTAAACTGTGTGCCACGGTGCTCTCTGGCTCCTTCCTTTCTCATTGAATTACATTCTGTGCTCTGCTCTATTGGCATCTATATCTACATTAGAATAGTTCATCTCTTTCACTTTTGTTGTAAAGCCTATTTAACAAAAAATAGACCTTTTGTGTTTTGTTTTTGCCTCTGCAGTTCTCAGCATAAAATCCTCTTACAACAGGCGTTACATTGGCTATTTCCACAGATTACTGCGAGGATTTCCTAAAGGATCCTGGACAGAGATGGGAGCTGGATGGAAACAAGGCTTTCAAGTGGGTGAGAAGCAGGGGAACATTTGAGCTTTCAGGGGGATGAGCTGTCCTGGAGCAGCCATTTCCCAGTGCACCTGCAGGCCCTGGGAGTGACAGGAAAGAGGCAGGGGCAGCCCAGCTGGCCAGTGTTTACCTGGTAGAGTTCTCGCTTCATCTCCTTCTGCTGCAGCTGGCCCAGTCTCCGGGTCCTCTCTGCCTCGTGGGTGAGAAGCTGTACCTGCTGTTCCTTGCGCCCTACATCTTCCAGGAGCTTCTGCATGCTGCCAGCTTTTGTGGTCTCTAGCTGCTGCTGACTGAGAGCTTCTTGGGTCACTCGGTGTTCCTGCTCCTTCAGCAAGCGAGCCTGTGCAGGGAAAGGTGTGTGTGTGTGAGAGAGGGAGAGAGAGAGAGAGAGAGTGATTGTGTGCTCATGCTCCAGTGTTTCCTCTCTGCATAGAGCAGGAGAGGAAGTTGCCATCCTCCAGCAGGGCTCAGGCATGGCATGAGATGGTCTCTGAACTCCACATTGAGTTGACTCTCTGTCTCCCAGGAGCTCACAGCAAGACCATCACAAGGCCATGCCCATGCACCTTTACTTTGTTGCCATTCCCTATTGAGCAGTAACTAAGTGTTACTTAGCAGGGATCATCAGGGAAAAGACCCCAAGATCCCACTTGGGGATTCCTTCCCACTGCTAGGAAACACTGCACCGATGGCAGCTGTCCCTGGAAAGCGTGCATGCACCATGAGGGGGCCTGTGTATAAGCTACAGAGTTAGATCCTAAGATAGCTTTGGTCAAAAGACACACACATGCACACATACACACAGTGATTCATAGTGGTTTTGCTGATGAATAATGTTTATCATCTTATTTAAATAAAGGAAGGAGCAACCAGCTTTTGAGCCACTGCCCTAGGCATCTGCTGCAAAGGCCAGAGCAGGGATGCTGAAGTCAGCGCTGTCTTTTCTTGGCTGGACTACGCGCCTCCCAGGACAGTATCTCAAGCAGCCACAGCACCACTCCTAGCAGCTGCCCTCAGCTTTGCAGGGCTCTGCAGAATATGTTCTTGATGAGGAAGCTGAGGCTCTGAGGCCTGAGTACCTGCTTGTCCTGCTGTTTGCACATCCTGGTGTTGTCATCCTGAGCCCTGGCCAGGGCCTGCCTGAGACCCTGTAACTCTTGACGAAACAAAGCTGCTTCTTGTTCTGCCATCAGTTTGGTGTTCAGACACTCTTTCTTACTTTGCACAGATTCCTGTAAGTATCCAAAGCATAGGAAGAGAGGCATTGAGTGTCCTTCCCGTGGGTTCCATATTTTCACAGGTAGTGTCTAAGCCATTGCTTTATCCATTCTGCTTGATATATATTTTAAAAACATGTATTTCTTTGAAAGACAGTAGGTAAGAGATATTTTCTATCTACTGGTTCACTCTCCAAATATGTCCAACAATGGGGGTCAGGCCAAACTAAAACCAGGAACCAGGAACTCTATCTGGGCTTCCCCATTGAATGCCAGAAACTTGTGTTTTGGAGCTGCCTCATCTGCTGCCTCCTGGGTATGCATTAGTGGGCAGGTTGATCAGGAGCATCAAGTAGTCAATATTTAAATAGGAAATTCAGACACCCCAGACAACAGATGAGCCACAGGGCCTAACCCCATTTCCTTCATAGCTTTTGGTAGAACAGTGCACCTGCTGGTCAGTGCTTCCTTGATTTTAAGAGCAGCATGACAGGGCAGGGTGTTCAGACTCTGTATCCCATGTTGAAGCACCTGCATGTGTAGCCTATGTTTGGCTCCTGGCTTCAGCTTCCTCCCACATATAACTTGAGAAGGCCATGGTGATGACTCAAGTACTTGGGTTCCTGCCAGTAAGCTAGGTTTCAGCTTTTGGCTTCAGCCTGGCCCAGTCCTGTCCTTCTATAGGCTTTTGTGAGGAGAGTGAACCAGGGAATGGGAGCTCTCTATCTGCCTATCTCACTGTGTCTGATTTCCAAACCATAAATATATATATTTTATTCTATTGGACAAAAGAAAAATGCAAAGGATCTGAGTAAGTAAAGATGTTTTACAAACAGTAAGTGAAAGTTGCCAAGCCACTTTCAGTGTGGGCTCTTGTTTCGTTTTTGCTTTGCAGCAGACTTTTCACCTGTTTTGTTACTTCCCTTTCTTCATATCATTTAGTGCAAGATGCAAAAGCATCTGACAAAAGCATCCTCAAGCACTTCACATCCATTTCCTCACTTCTCTAATGCTCCATGCTCTGATCTCCCTGACCAGATGTTTCTGCCTTTTTTTTCCCTTGTTTTCTCCTCAGGCCCTGCCATTGCCTGCTTCCAGGAAGATGCCAGATCAGGATCAGATGCTTGATCCTACCACCTGTCACTGGACAGTCACCAGTGTTAGCAGCTGCAGGCAACCATGAGGTCCCTCCCAACCCAGCCTCATGCTCACCTTCTCCGCCCAGCTCAGCTGGCCCTGGAAGCGTGCCTGCTGCCCGGCCAGCCTCCAGCGATCCAGGTTCCTCACTTTGCACACCAACGCGGCCAAGCGGCAGTTGTCCTGCTCAGAGGCTAGCAGCTGCTCCTGACAAGAAGGTTTGACTTTCAGAAGAGGCCACCCCACCCCATGCTTCTGCCAGGGTGGGTGCAAATCCCAACGGCAGAGGACACGGTTGAACAGTGACTCCCAGCATCCCTTCCACATGCTTGTGGCCAGGCTTTCTAAGGGGAATGCCAACTGGAATGTTCAAGGGGTGCCTAGAGAGGGTAGCGCTGGCCTAACCCCATGGCACTGTCAAGTCCTGTACTTGGGCTGCATTCTCTTTCATGCCTTCATCTGTCCTGGTGGAGCCCCAGTTTTTCTTGAGTTCCTTCAGCCTGTCGATCCTTTCTGCTCTCACTTGGCTGATGAGCTTGTACACTTCCTGGATCAGATGAAACTGATTCTTATCCAGTGTCTCCTGCAAAGCACAGATTCAAGTCATCTGGCTGGCGTGAAAGACCACAATCAGGGTGGGGGTTGGGGGACAAAAAACCTCTTAGCAGAGATTTTTACATTAAAATATCATTCTCCCCACCCCCAGATAAATGACTATGACACAAATTGTTTGGAAACCCCACTAGGAACCCCTTGATCATTGTCTTGAGTCCAGGGAGTCTCCTTTATCTTTGGGAACCCCTCCATCCCAGATGAAGCCTTGCTTGCCAATAGCCAGGGGAGTCCATTCACTGTTAGAGCAGTGAGTAGGGCGGTGAAGAGATTATAGGCAGAGATGTCCCCTGGCGAGGATCACTGAAAGCTAATTCAAGAATTATTCTTGCCAGCTTAAATCCAAGCAGAATCAGGCCAGACCAGACACTATGGATGAACCACTACCAAGAGCCCAATAAACAGAGATAAAGCACAGGAAGGATTCAGGTTGGCTGTCTTTTTCCATGGGCTATAGCAAAACACTCACCAGGAAACATCCTGTCCTCCATAGCTTTTGGCTAATGGCTGATAATGACAGGTATAATAGTGGATCCAGTGCTATGCACTGTGCCATCTCTGCCCACCCCCAAATCCATATGTCCACACTGTGACAGTAACCAGGGACACAGGATCTCCAGCAGGTAATTGAAATAAAGGCATAAGGGTAGGTTCTATGCCACTGAGATTGGACATATACGAATGGGTAAAGAGGTGGGGTGGCTTGTGGCACTGGCATCTCATTTAGGTGTCAGTTTGTATCCCAGCTGCTTCACTTTGATCCAGCTCCCTGCTTGTGGCCTGTGAGGGCAGTGGAAGATGGCTCTGGCCCTTGGGCTCCTTCACCTATGGGGAGACCAGGAAGAAGCTCCTGGCTCCTAGCGTTAGATCAGCTCGACTCTGATTACTTTGGTCCTTTGGGGATGAACTAGAGGACAGAAGATCCTCTTTCTTTGTCTCGCCTCCCTGTGAATCTTTCAAATAAAATAAATAAATAAATACATCTTTTAAAAAGTAAGAGGCAAAAGGCCTGACGGTGTGGCCTAGCAGCTAAAGTCCTCGCCTTGAACGCTCCAGGATCCCATATGGGCGCTGGTTTTAGTCCCGGCAGCTCCACTTCCCATCCAGCTCCCTGCTTATGGCCTGGGAAAGTGGTTGAGGGCGGCCCAAAGCCTTGGGACCCTGCACTCACGTGGGAGACCTAGAGACCTAGAGGAAGTTCCTGGCTCCTGGCTTCGGACTGGTGCAGCACTGGCTGTTGTGGTCACTTGGGGAGTGAATCACCAGATGGGAGATCTTCCTCTCTGTCTCTCCTCCTCTCTCTATATCTGACTTTGTAATGAAAATAAAATAAATCTTTAAAAAAGAGAGCTATTCTTTTTTCCTCTGCCATATGTAATGACATAGCAAGAAGGTGGCCACTTGCAATGGACCATGGCATGGGCACCTCGGTCTCAGACTTGCAGCATCTGGAACCAGGAGAAAATGTCTGCCGTTTAAGCTACCCAGGATATGGTAGTAGTTCAGGGAGCCTGAGCTAAGATGCTCAGGGTCCTTGAGGTGAGAGGCAGGCACCACTGCGGGAAGATAGTGCCATAGCAGGAAGCCAGCTGCTGCCACTCAGCACCTGACAGGGGCCCTGGAGGAGAACGCGGATCCCCTACCTTAAGAGTCTTGGTGGGATTCTGTTAGCCAGGGAAGTTGAGCATCTACTTATTTACCTAGGAACCCAACAGAAGCTAAAAGGAACTTTATACATTTCTCAATTACCTCATGCCCAATTGCTTGCCAAAATCTTTTTCGTTCTCTGTTCGCCCCTCTCCTGCAACACTAGGCTGAGTGAGTGGATTTTTGGCTTTGATCTTTTACATTTGCAAACACTTGTGCTTGGCAAGTAAGAGGAAATCTCCAATTCCATCTGGAATGACCATGCCCAAGGCATGGGAATAGGGAATAGCAGAATGTGCCTAACTCTAGAGACTACTGTGGAGCTCTCAAGGGTGAAATAAGGAGGTACTTAGAGATAGGCTCTGGGGTGTATCCTACCATAGCAGGGAAGAGGAGGCAGAGGTGGGAAAAGCTACAATCTTGCATGGTAGGTTAGTGCTGAAATTCACACCAGCAGGGCAATTGGACCAGGCTTTCCCAAAGCCTGTCATTGGCCTGGGGAATCTAACATTCATTGTTGGTGTCATCATCATTCATTGTCACTTTGCTTTCTGAGGGATCTGCATGCATAGGCCAGCTGCTCCCTAGCACTCAATGTGAGCCCAAATCTGGTGGGTATTACAAAAATGTCTGAGAACAGATTCATGCTCAGAGCCTGCCCAGCAAGCTCTCAGCTGGTGCCTGCCACTTCCTACCCCATTTGGAGAGTCACATTCAGACAAAACAGGGACAACAGCTGTGGGGAATTTTGAGCACAAACCCCCTTTCTCTCAACATAAAGGAGCTGGCTACAATGCCATCTGGTAGTAGAGCATTAAACATAAACTTCTCACGTGGTCCAAAAGTCAAAGTCCTCTAGGGGAAAGTCATAGCAGCAAGCCGTGGCTGAGGCTCCCACTGCAGTGAAAGCTGATCTGAAAATCCTGGGGCCCAAGCACCTTGGGTTACCAAGTGTGGTGTGTCCACTGATCCCTGGGGGCCCAGCCACCAGGCTGCCCACATGACTGGCACAGGACACTTACTTTGATATGTAAACAGGTCACAAACAAAGCGTGGACCAAGGCTCCGTACTCTTCCTGGACTTCTTTTCTAATCCGTGTATTGAGATTCAGATTCTCTTCTTCCATGTCTGTGAGTTGGGCTCTCAGAGCAGTGAGTTCCATGATGATCTCATGACTGAGTTCAGCCAGCTGGCAGCAGAAATCAATCAATCAATACAAACACACCAGGGGACTTCAGAATGTTCATGGAAATTGTATATTTAGCAAGAAAAAAGTTGGATTTCAGAAAAACTCTTTCGAACCAGAATAAATTTAGTTTTAAAATGTATCACTGATTTTGAATTTATTTGATAAAGCAGAGAGACAGAAAGAGAGGGAGAAAGGAGAGAGAGGGAGATTACACACTGATTCACTCCTCAGATCCCAGCCATAGCTAGAGATGGGCCAGACAAAGTCGGGAGCCAGGAGCTCAACTCAGGTTTCCCATGTGGATGGCAAGGACCCAACTACTTGAGCCATTGCCTGTTGCTCCCAAGGGTGTTTCGTTAGCATGAGGCTGGAATTGGGAGTGGACCTGGGACTCCAGCCCAAGCATTCTGATATGGGATGTGGGTATGCCAAGTGCTTGTCTGTAAACTTCCCTCTTAACTCTATTCCAGGAGCTTTTGGAAGTAGGCTCGTTCATTTGTATATATGTATTTCTATTTCTATATATACATAAAACAAATTAGGAATTCCTACATGCATGTCAACTGGCCTCCAAAGAAAACAACCACACTCCCCTTCCAAAATAACCAAAAACAAAAACAGCAAACACCCCAATACTAGGAAATCGTAGAAAAACAAAAGACAATTGAAGACAGAAAAACCTGGTAAGGAGACCACTCACAGGAACTCACAGAAAGTGGTCACTGCTCCCAGGAAATGAACATTGTTCACCAGAAGTGGAGGAATGGAACTCCTAGGGAATGGAAGCACAGCCCTGGGGGGTTTCAGCAAGAAGACTTTCCTGGACTTTGTCAGGTAGCATGAGCAGATAACGCTCAGCGCCAGTGGTCATGGACCTACCTGAGCGGCTCTGTCTTTGGGTGGATGTTGTCTTCTCTGCAGGACATCTAACTCCTGGGGAGGACAAGGCATGGAATGTAAGTGCGTCCTCTTCCAAAGGTGGCTCAGCTGCATGTGCTCAAGTGGAGGACTCAGTGACAGGTGTGTGTGGTGGGGGGAGTCAGGAGGGGCAGACCCAAGCCTCACTCACTACTTGATGCATTCATGCATCATTTGATCTTTTTGACTAGTTCTTTCTCAGGTATAAACTACAGTGACATAGAACCTCTGATGCAGTCTGTTTCAAAGCAGAGTGTGACCCAGGGTCCCTGTAGCAACTCCTAGATTCCCCTCTACCTTCCCTGGCCCTGGCAGGGGATGTCAATTTCAGGAAGTGTTACCTGGGAGACTTACCTACAAGTGCATCCCAAAGGTAATGTTTACTCAAAGATTCTGGATTCTGTGTTGGACCAGGAGCAGCATAAGGTGCCCAGGGCATGAAAGTCAGCTACAACAAGGCTTTCCTGCATGGCCCAGCCTCTCAGCTGCTCATCTCTGGCATGGTTAAACTGCAGGACCCAATTGAGGATGAGCCTTTTGCAGCTGGGACTTCCAGAGCCCAGAAAGGGAGCCAATGGGAAGAGCAGTTTGGAATGTATCAGTCCATGTCAAGTCTGGCTTAAGTACTGCCTTTCTTGACTCCTCTGAGCAGACCCTAGGGCCTCCCTGTGTACCTGCAGGCCCCCCTGCGATTCTCTTCTCTGTGATCCCACCTGTTCCTTCTGGTGCAGCCTCTGCCTTGTGTGCTGTAGCAGCTGCTCGCAGCACATGGAGTAGGTCTCGAAGCTGCTGCGCTCTCTCACCATCACGTCACAACCCAGGGAAAGGAGGCAGGCCTTGAGGTGGTCCTTTCTGAACGTGATCTGAAAAGACAGAGGCCTGACTCCCAGCAGGTTCAGCCCAGTAGCCCCGCCAGGCCAGGCTACAGGACACATGGAGCCTTGGCTCACAAACATGCTTCCGTGTCCTGTCCACCCAGTGAGGTCAGCTCTGGCCTCGCAAGCCCCACCCCTCCTTCAGCTCTGCTTTGCACATTTACAAGGCCAGGGGTCAGAACACTTGTGGAGACCTGTGGACAAGGTATAAATATTTAAACATTATACATCCACTGACCTAGCCATTGAAATTCAAGCCTTGATTCTTCTATCTTGAGAGATGGACCTTCAAAGTAACCTGGTTTGAACTTGTTATTCTATTCTTTTTAAAGAAAGATTTCCTTTTATTTATTTGAAAAGCAAAGTTACACAGAGAGAAAAAGAGTGAAAATAAAGAGAGAGTGAGAGAGAGAGAGATCTTCCTACCACTGGTTCATTCCCCAAATGGCCACAATTACCATGGCTGGGTCAGGTCAAAGCCAGGAGTCAGGAGATTTTCCTGGTCTCCATTGTGAGTACAGGGGCTCAAGCACTGGTCTCCACTGCTTTCCCAGGAGCATTAACAGGGAGCTGGCACAACTCAAGCTGGCACCCATGCAGGATACCAGCTCTGCTAGTGGCAGCTCTACCTGCTTCACCACAACACTGTCCCGTGAATTCATCCCTCCTAAGTGTACTCTGAGTTCTACCCCGTGGTGTGGTGACCTGCACAGAGCTGGTCCTGGAGCCAGAATTTACTATGTGATCCCCTTATCTTCCCACCTCTGGGTCCTGTCCAACTTCAGTTACACCCACATGGTAGCCTGGGAGGTCAGCTCGTGGTCTGGTAGACTCAGAATTCCAGGCTCCTACACACCTGGAGCATGTTCTGGAAGGTGGGTCAGATCTGAGAGGACACATCTTGCAGGGCAGGGCAGGGCAGTGCTGGAGGAGGGCTTGAGAGGAGTAATCCGAAATCTGGGAGGCCATCCTGCAGGGGCCCCTCTTCAAGCTCCTCCTCTACTCCCAGTAGCAATGAATGAATTCTCCCGGCTCTGTCTCCAATCACCACATACCTCACTCAGGCAATATCACTCTCTCTAGACACTGAGCCTACCCTGGGAACAGGTGATCCTTAAAGCACAGGGAAGACCATTCCTTCAAGGCTGGGCAGTTCTACCCAACAAGGACCCGTGCACTTCTGGATCAGGAACCATATCTGGGATTGCACATTGCCAAGTCCAAGATTAGGCCTGCACTCTGGCATCAACTATGTGATACTTTCTTCCAGGGCTGGGCAGTTTCCGGGTCACTTGCAACCCTGCTGGAGAGGTCAGGCTGTGCTTGTCAGCTGAGGTGGAACTCCCAGGAAGACCACAGTCCTGTCTGTGCAACCTCAGCACCTCGCTGACCACAGGGCATGCTGACAATGGGTTTCCAGGCAAGTGAGGGAGGCCAAGTGAGTGAGATGGTGAGCAGCAGCAGGACTGGGTGCAGCTGCCAATGGAATGACAGTGCTGAGTCACCCACTGTGGCTGGGGGTGAGGGGGAGGATTCTGGGGAGAGGAAGGGCTAGGGAAGCCATTGCAAGCATTCTACACTTTCGTGCTTTTTGCCCCAGTTAATTGTACTTCCAGGAATTTATTTTTAGCAAATATTAAAAACTGTATGCAAGGGCCAGTGCTGTGGCTCAGCTGGCTTATCCTACATCTTTAAGCACCAGCATCCCATATGCGCTCCAGTTTGTGTCCTGGCTACTCCACTTCCCATTAGCTCTCTGCTTGTGACCTGGGAAGGTACAGGAGGATGGCCGAAGTCCTTGGGACCTTGCACACTCACAAAAGAGACCCAGAGGAAGTTCTTGACTCCTGGATTGGCCCAGCTCTGGCTGTTGCGACCATTTAGGAAGTGAACCAGCACATGGGAGATCTTTTTCTCCTTCTCTCTGTAAATATGCCTTTCAGTTAAAAATAAAATCAGCAATTTTAAAAACAGGTGATAAAATTTGTGAGGAACTATGTTGAAATGACAGCAGTGTTTATTCATGAGTGGTAAGAGTATGGGTGTGGGACCTGGTGTGATTACCTAATGGCTAAATCCTTGCTTTGCATCTGCTGGGATCCCATATGGGGGCTGGTTCATGTCCAGCTACTCCACTTCCCATCCAGCAACCTGCTGTGGCCTGGGAAGGCAATCCAAAGATGGCTTAAAGCCTTAGGATCCTGTACCTAAGTGGGAGACCCAAAAGAAGCTCCTGGCTCCTGGCTTTGGATTGGCTCAGCTCTGGCTGTTGTGGCCACTTAGGAAGTGAAGCAGTGCACAGGAGATCTTTCTCTCTGTATCTCCTTTTCTCTGTATATCTGGATTTACAATAAAAATAAACAAAGCTAAAAAAAATCATATGAGTCTGTTTTTTCTAGAATGTCATTTTCTTTTCTGGTACAGAATCATCATGGGGGTGAGGGGATGTTTCCAAAAGATCATAGAACATTTGTGTTATTCCTTTACGAAGTTATTTGAAAGTCGTGTTTATTTGGAACAGAGAGAGAGAGCAAGCGAGCAGCTATTGGTTCGCTCCCCAAATGCCCATGGCAGCCAGGGCTAGGGAAGGCTGTAACTAGGAACCAGGAGCTCCCTAAGGCATCAGAGGAGGCTGGACTCACAGATAGAGCCAAGAGGCAAACCCAGACACTTCCACCTGGGACACACATGTCTCGAGTGATGGCTTCACAGCCACACCAAATGCCTTCTGCACCTCGTGTTATCTTTGTAATGCTATTTTCCACCACCTTTTTTGACTGTCCCCCTCAGTAGGATTCAAATAATTACCTACAAACATATAAAAATAAGTGCATCTTTTCATTAAAAGATTGTCCTGCTTTTTATAAAGTCATCAACAAGATCAGCTTGGCAGGCTGTAATTCTGCCTCAAGCCCCACAATCAGCAAGGAGATACTTCTGCTCCAGTGGCATCTTCCATGCACACGGCAGCTAGGCAGACAGCTCAGCCTTCTGCAGCTTCCACACCCAGGGCCTTCTTCAAGGGACCCCTTCAGTGGGAGTGGGATTAGGGCAGAGCCCCCAGATCCTGAAAAGTGAGCCAATGTCAGCCGTAATTCAGCTGCTACTGACCCAAGGCCAAGAATCACAGAGCTCTTGCTGCCTGACCTTGACTCTTATGTAGTCACAGGGCCAGGCCATGTGGATTTAGTGATAACCAACACAACCCATCCTGATCTGGCTGTGATGAAAGCTTGAAGTCAGGAGAAGTCACAACATCATATCAGAGGCCAGCAAGGTGTGACCCATGACCTTTGTCTTGGGCCCAGCACCCTCCCAGAGTCAGCCAGCCCACCTCAGTCCCCTGACTGCACCCAGTCCTGGCCTCAAGTGCCTCCTAACATCCTACCAGAAGGGTCAGCACTTCCCACACCGAGGTCACCATGGACCCCTTGAATCTACAGGAGCTACACAGAGGCTTTCTGCTTGCTGCCTGAGCCAAGGTGACTCTGGTGTGTCTGTGTGACAGCAGGAGGAAGAAGTGGTCAACCTTCTCCCCAAGCACCTCTGCTGAGGCTCCCCGAATGGAGACTGCATATGAGATGGAGGGAACGGGAGAGGGTGAGCAAAGCAGGTACAGGAGGCTAGGGTGGAGTGATGGGAAGCTGTGCTTGATTAGTGAGGGGGCAGGGGGCTTTAAGCAGCTTTCCCACGACCTTTCCGCACACCCTCCCTGCCCTCATGCCCCCTTGCCCCGCCCAGATGAGTTTGGGTCTTGGAAGCGGCACCTTTGGCCTCTTGGAAGCAGCATCTGGAGTAACCCATCGTTGCCTATTGCTCATTCAAGCCCTAGTGGCTTCTGCCAGCACAAACCTGCCACGGGCTCTCCCACAGTATTTTATTTCATGAAGATCACTTGACCACTTGCTGCTGCCTTCTCCAGTCACTACAAATGTCATCTCTGCCTGTGTCAGGTGCAGCGTGAATGTACTTCCTCTGCCTGGGTCTCCAGCCCAACCCCAAAGTCAAACCCCGACCTGGTTTTGTCTGGCAACAGCACTGCCTTGCACTGCCTCAAGTCCATCACCAAGCCCAACCTGGATGTGATGGGCAGCTATGGCCAGAAGAGCCCCAGAAGGCCAGAGTTGGGAACAACATAAGCACCAGACCTTGTTCTGGCAGAAGTCAGCTCTGTGGCCTGCTGGGAGCAAGCGTGCACTTGCATGTATGTTCTACTTGATATCCCCAGGATCACATGTGTGTACACGAGTGTTTGAGGATGCAGCCTGTGCAGATAACAACATTCCAGTGACTTCCTACGGAGGCTGGGATATAATGCCTTATGCCACCATTCATTCAGCATCTAGCCCAGCATGTCAACCTCCTTTACAGGGTCCTGCTGTGAACCCTACTTACTCTGCCAGCTCTCCCTTGCCTCTTGTCACCTGGTCAACTCTTGGGATTTGCGACCAGGCTCCAAAAACACCTCCTCCAGGAAACCCTCCCTATTTCCTGACCTCTACCTGGGTTGTGTCTCACATGCTCTGGGCGTGCTCCTTGAGCATGCCAACTGCCTGTTTTCTGACATGGCAGGTTCACTTAACTGTCTCCAGGAGTTGAGGGCAAGGACTGTTTATTCTTATTGTCTTTAGTAAAGTGCTGGGGGGGGGGAGCAGGAAATCTGTAAACACTCACTGGATGAAGGAAAAGGGTCCTGCAACTCACAGTATAAATGATTAAGGTTCTAATTTGTAAGAGCAGTCTCTAATTTCAGGCTAGTGTGTTTGGCAAGAAATTTTCAGCAAGGTTTTAGCACTGATTAGGAAAGGCTGAACCTAGAACCAAGCAAAATTCCTAGAACCAAGCAAAATCACTGGAAACCAACATGGGGCCAAGGAGAATTGGGTTGGTATCAGTGTTGTGGCACAGTAAGTGAAACTAGCATCCCTTATAAGCTCTACTTCAAGGCTGGCTGCTCCACTTTGGATCCAGCTCCCTGCTAACGCACCTGGGAAGGCAGCAGAGGACAGCTCAGGTGCTTGGGTCCCTGTACCCACATGGAAACCCAGATGGAGTTCTGCACTCCTGGTTTTGGGTTCACCCAGCCTTGGTGGTTGTGACCATTTGGGGAGTGAACCAGTGCATAGAAGATTTCTGTCACTTTTTCTGAACAATTAATAAATCTTTCACAAATTTTATTTGAAAAGAATTTTTATTTCCCCACAATGAGTCAAAGAATTCTAATCCTACCAAGGAGCCACTGGCTAGGAAGAAAGTCTATGAACTATCTATCCCATCACATTCACATGTGTGTCCCATCCACATTGGTGGAGCATCCTGAGGAAGCTCTATAGTTCTTTCTGGGTGTTTCATGCCTGGTCTATTAGTGTTAGCAGCATTAACTAGATAATAGGCTTTTGGTACACTCACATTAAAAAGTGATTTATTTGGAGCAGGTGTTGGACACAGTGGTAAGGACGCTGCTTTGGATGCCTACATTCCATGTCTGAGAGCCTGCATTCGAGGCCTATATCCACTTCCAATTCCAACCTCACTTGCCACCTGAGGGTGTGCATTAGCAGGAAGCTTCATCAGAAGCACAGGCAAGAGTGAATCCCAGGCACCCAGATTTAGCACGCAGGTGTCTGGTGTGTTGGATTAACCTGCTGCACCATAGTGCCTGCCCTTAAACCACTTAGTGATCCTAAAAGCTCTGTTTTGTCAAAATAGTCACATCTACCAATCTTCCTGCCTTTCCAGCAAATTCCTTTTGGCAAGGACTGGGGGCCTGTGCAGCCAGGAAAGCTACCACCTGCAATGCCAGCATCCTATCTGGGCACCAGTTCATGTCCTGGTTGCTCCACTCCCAGTCCGGCTCCCTGCTAATGCAGAAGATGACTCAAGTACTTGGGCCCCTGCCACCTATATGGAAGAACTGGAAGAAGCTCCTAGCTCCTCACTTTGGCTTAGTACAGCCCTGGCTGTTGTAGCCATCTGGGGAGTGAACCAGTGGATGGAAGATTTCTCTCTCTCCTCTCTCACTGTCTCTTTCATTCTTCCTCAACTTCTGCTTGCAAACAAATGGAAATAAATCTTAAAAAATTCCAAGGACTGTGTATATGTATGTGTTCATGTATGATATACGTACTATTGCTACATATATTATTATAAGGAATTGATGTAGATTTTAAATTTTTTTTTCTGAAAGATCACACTCAGAAAAACTGTTTTGCTGGTTTCCTTGCTGAAGACAACTTGACTTATAGAAGGGAGAGAATGTTATCTTTCTGTGCTTTTCTTTCTTTCTTTCTTTCTTTCTTTCTTTCTTTCTTTCTTTCTTTCTTCCTTTCTTCCTTTCTTCCTTTCTTCCTTTCTTATTTTTTTTCTTACCATATTGGATACTTAGAGAATATTTTATAGGTAGTGATATTATAGGCTTTTAGGTTTTTGTTTTGTCAATGTTTTATACTAATAAATCAACAACAGGAAATTTTTCTAAAAACTGACTTCCTCAGTAATACTCTCTAGGGTGACTTTAAAACACTAACCACATTTGTAATCAGTCAACAAAGGTGTGCTGCTTACTCAGATCCTTACAAGGAGTCAGTCTTTTTCCAAAAAGAAAAGAACAAATCATTACTTGTTGGGGTTCGGCCTCAGTATTCCCCTCATCATTCTTGGGGAGTAAGGGAAGTATTAGGAGATAGGTTAAACACAAAAGTAGTCTTTATTTGGATTGCTGTGAAGAAATGAAAAGCAAAACCGGCTTGACAAATGGCTCATACCTACCTCTGGCCCACTGTCTTTGCAGTTCTGCATTAATCGCTGTACAAATTTTTCAACTATTTGTGGTCTGGAGATGGGAAAGTGTTCTCTCATGCCTTGGTGTTTCCAGAGATCTAGGGAGAAAAGCCATACTAGCACCACAAAAGTACAGAACAATCACTGGTAGATGGGGAATGGCAGCTCCTCGGGACGCAGCACAAGTGTTACTTTAAAGGCACAATGGACTCAGGGAGGGAGCTGAGGATCCAGAAGCCGACTGAACACGCAGCAATCTCCAATGAGATGTCATCGCTAAAACCCCCCCAAACTGAATGTTAGTATTGAGCCTACACAACATCTATTTTCCTTAAGCCTACGCATGCGTCTGAATAATTATTTTGGTTTAACACAGCTTTCCAAAATAAATGAAGATATATTTGTCTACAAATGCCACAGGGAAAAAAAATCATGTAAATATTTAGTAATTTTAAGTAGAGGGGAAAATCTGGAAGTGAGAAGATGGCGTCACGTGTTAGAAATGTTAACAGGAGCTGACATGGGGGGTGAGACCGGCAGTCACTGCTTGCAGGGCTGGCATCCCGCACGGGCGCTGGTCTGTGTTCTGGCTGCTCCACTTCCAATCCAGCTCCCTGCTGATACACCTGGAAAAAGGTGGAGGATGGTTCAAGTTTGCATCCATGTGGGAGAATCAGAAGAAGCTCCTGGTTTCAGTTTGACTCAGATCTGGTCACTGTAAGAAGTGAATCAACAGATGGCAGGTCTCTCACTGTCACTCTTTCTTTCTTTAAGATTTATTATTTATTTTTATTTCAAAATCAGATATACAGAGAGGAGGTGTTGTGGGCTAAGGAGCTGATTAGTGTTCCTTGGACTGAGCAGGAACAAGAACTGGGCTTGTGACTAAAAACACCTAGATTAACTAGACTGAGCAGTATCCAATTTCCTGGCTAAATGAGGATGTGTGTGTTGGGGGGAAGAGTATATAAGCAGAGGTGAGGGAGCAATAAAGGGAGACTTCCCAGAGACTTCTACCATCATTGGTCCCCTGTCGGTGCTTTATCCCCAGACCCTCTCCCTGTCCATGTTACTGGCTTTGCTGGTCGGAGCGAGAAGGAGAAACAGAGGAAGATCTTGCTTCTGATGATTTACTCCCCAAGTGACTGCAACAGCCGGTGCTGATCCAATCTGAAGCCAGGAGCCAGGAATTTCCTCTAGGTTTCCCACGTGAGTGCAGGGTCCCAAGGCTTTGGGCTGTCCTCGATTGCCTTTCTAGGCCACAAGCAGGGAGCTGGATGGGAAGTGGAGCTGCTGGGATTAGAACTGGCTCCCATAATGGGATCCCGACACATTCAACACGAGGATTTTGGCACTCGGGCCCCACTCTGCCTTTCAAATACATTTAAAAAAATAATTTTTTAAAAATAAATGTTAAGAACTGAGAGGTGGCCTATGAATTTTTAACTCAAAACAAAGATAGAGCAAAACATAACAGACATGGGAAAGAGTCATCTGTAACTTTGCTTATGGCAGCAACAGCTGTGTGTCTGCTGCTTAGCATCTGGCCATATAACCAACACAAGAGCATGCAGCTGGAAGAAAGAGAAGAAGGATTCCTCCGGCTGCTGGTAGGAAAAAAGCTGTCGATTGCTAAGTATAAAAGAGACAAGGGAAAAAACAGTGGGTATTCAATGATATATTTTATACAAATATGGTCAAGAGGGAGGCTCTCAAGTCCACTCACAGTCATGGTTCCAAAACTTCCTCTTTCTTCGATGTCATTATTCCCACCTACCCTCCTAAGCCTTTATTTTTTTGTTATATTTTTATTTTGAATTTTTGAATTTTGTGGTACAGTTTCATATACACCTAAGGCTTTCACAACGCACCTGTTATTTTTCTCAGAACCCCCTCCCCCACCACCTGCGGCCTCGTGTGCTTTCATTTTTTAAAAGCTCAACTCCCAGGAAGAGACATCTACAATTACACTGTCTTCAACTTATCTCAGATTCCTTCTTTGATTTTTTTTAAAGAGATTTATTTATATTATTCGAAAGGCAAAGTTACAGAGAGGCAGAGACTGAAAGAGGAGAGATCTTCCATCAGTCGGTTCATTCCATAAATGGCTACAACCATTTGCACAAGCCATGTCAAGAGCCTTGGGGCTTCATCTGGGTCTCCCGCATGGGTAGCTGGGACCCCAAGTACTTGGGTCTTCTGCTGCTTTCTCAGGTGCACTGGAATAAGGATTGAAGGTAGAGCAGCTGAGGCGGGAACAGAGCTCATGTGCAATGCTGGCTCAGGAACACTCAGATGCCTTCTTAAACCCACTCACCTTATATTCACCCCCTCCACTCTACTGAAGCGAGTTTTGTCATAAATATCAGCAATTTCCACACGATGACAAGTAATTACACTTGCTAACAGCGTTTCACATTCATTTGTCACTTTCTCCAGTAGACTTGAGACATCACCATGTCCTGGTTGTCCTCCCACCTCAGTGTCTGCTTCTTCTGGGTCTCTTCTGCTGGTTCCCCCTTGCCCCTCCTCCAGCTTTTGTCATCAGACTGTCCCAGAGCTCACTTCTTGCCCCACCTCCTTGGTCTGTCTATTCTCTTCCCTCACTTCCCTTCCTGTCACAGCTAGACACAAGGGGACTTTGAAATGTTCTTGGAAAGGGGGAACTAAAACACTAGCTTATTCAGGTACAAAAAAAGTTAATCTTTTTTAAGTCTTTTTGGTAACATGCATCTTTCATGGACACTTTAGAGTCCTTTTATCCCATTTGTGTACTGACCACATCTCTTAGATGTCTAGATGGCATGTAAGTCTTTACCTGTGCATAATCAAATGGCCACTTTCTGCCTCCTCCCAACCCCCTGCATTGCAACTGGCTTTACCTACAGGCCATCCATCTCAGCTGATGGGAGTTTTCTTCTCCTATTGGTGCAGGTAAAAAAATATATATATACATATAAAATATGTGTATATATATACTTACACACACACACACGTAAATCTGTATCTTGATCCCTCTCTTCTTCAACACCCATTAGTGCCTCCTTCAGAATACACCTGGAAGCTGGCCAATGCTAGTTTCTTCTACTGCTAATCTTGTCTACATCACCATCTTTACTCGGATCACTGCACAGCCTCCAAAGCATCCTGTCCATCCTTGCTCTCGTCTTTGCTCATGGCCCACTCTCAACCCAGCAGCCAGAAAATGTCACTCTGTCTAAACTGGGCTCCCCATTGCTTTCAGTGCCTTGCGTGGTCTGTTCTCCCTCCACCCCACTCTCCCTGACCTCACCTTCTGCCCTTCCCCACACTCTTTCTCTATCAGCTGTGCCTGAGTCTTTGCTGTTTCTTAAACATGGCAGGCATGCTATCTGGTCATGGCCTTTAGACAGGCTCTTATTCTTTCTAGAATACCCCATATGGCCTCACGGCTAAATTTCTCCTCTTCTTCAAACCTTTGTTGGAAACATTGCTAACTCTGTGGCTTAACCTCCTCACTCTAATTAAACTATGGTGTGTGCCACATCAACCTCCTTACTCCATTGTTTTCCTATTTATGTTAAGTGCCCATTATTTATCACCTGCTAAAGATAGTCATCTGACATAGTAGGTGCTTAGTAGTTACTAAGTGAACTACTATATGATAAAGAATATACGTAACAAATAAAATCTTTCCATATTCATACATGCAACTAATACATAAAAGAGGCGATAGATAGGTGGCAAAACAGTGGGCAAGAGAGCCCATGGTGGCAACATTATACATTGTATACAAAAATGGCTGCATATGTTTTGTCTGAAAACACTGGAATTAAAAGTTTGACGCGTCCGTGGAGCAGCTGTACAGCATCTTCACTGTGAAGGAATTGGTGCAAAAGTTTTCTAAATCTTCTGCTGTATTAGAAGCTGAAAAGGGAGGTAAATTCCAAATGTTTGATGGGAACATCACTGGTGAATATGTAGGACTGTTAACACATAAAAAGATCATCATGAAATGGAGATGTAGGAACTGGCCAGAAGAACACTAGGCAACAGTTGCCCTGAATTTTGTGCCTATTCTGGGGCAAACAGAACTGCAATTGGACTGTAAAGGAGTTCCTGTCTGTAAGGAAGAGAACATGAAGTTCTGTTGGGAGAAGCAGCATTTTGAAGAAATAAAAGGTTTACTGCAGCTGGCCACCCTGCATGGTTGACGACCTTGTAGGAGGGCACTTTTTGTAAGCAGAACAGTGTCCTATCAGCTTTACCTCTTCCTTTCTAACTTACTTTATATTGGATGAAACCCATGAACCTGCATAGTATCAGGGCCCTGCAGGCAGTGTGCAGCAGTGAGCTGCAACTGGGGTGGCGGGAACCTCCCCTTCCTCCCCAGCATCAAACCCCTCCCGAGCACAGTGTCAAGCCCGCATGTTGCAATGAAAAGCATGTTGATGTGAGGGGCCAGCTGGCTGTACTGCTGGGGCAGCCCTACAGCAGTTACGCACCCTGCGGTGGACAGGACTGAGAAGTCAGTGGGGTAAGTGACTATTTTTGGAGTTGTCATGAAATAGGTCAGTGGACCAATGCTTCCCCCTCCAGTTTTCTCATTACCTTCCTCTGAGAAGACTGAAGCAACATATGTAAACAAATGAAAAGTCATCACAATCAGTTTTAATTAAGTGCACAGAATAGCAATCAGTCATGTCAATAAAAATAAAACAATTAAAAAAAGTTTATTTTAGTGCAACAAGATTTGGAAATCCATGCATCTTGTTGTCATGGTACACAATTTTCACAAAGTTTTTGCATGGGTTCCAAATTTTTTGTTGCCTTTCAAATAAATGAATAATCAGTATTTTAAATTTTTTACTTATTATTTACTAAAATCAAACTTAAAAACAATGTGGCCATGCAGGACAGTGCACTGTTTTAGATACTCCCTGTCTGCAGCAGGGAACAGCTGAAGCACGTGAGAGTGTACATCACGTTGGGAAGAACTAGGTGAATCAGGCTTACTCCCCAGGAAAGTCTTGAAAAGCAGAGTGCTATGACCGGGGAAGTAGGGGTCAAGCCCCATCTAGCTCCCTCTCCTGCGATGGGGCAGCTAGCCAAAAGCCAG